TGGTCTACAGCGTACCATGCCAATATTGTGATGCAAGATATGTTGGTGAAACGGGAAAACTCTTCGGCACAAGATTACACGAGCACCAGATTGCAATTAACCGCAAGGATAAGCTGTCGTTGGTGTACGGCCACACACTAGACCGGAACCACAATTTCGCCTTCGAGAAAGCGAAGGTGGTCGATCGAGCCAATGACAAAATGGCTAGACTGCTGCTGGAAAGTTGGTTCTCGACTGACACTCTCAGCCGGGCCGTAGACCTACATCCCGCCTAGCAGGCGCTCTGCGCGAGTCTCGAGTCAGTCCAGGCAGGGCCAATGGCACGTACAAAAAGAGTCACACGGGGTACACTGCCGGCGCTCGCGGAGAGAGGAGAAGACGCTGATCGAAAGTCACGTGACAGGCGTGGCACTGTCTCAGGGACGTACTCGCGAAACCGGAAACACCACGCCTGAGGCACACTATCGATCAGCCCGCCGTCTGACGAGGGGGAGGCCAACGAGCACGCCGACGCGGCGGCAACCACGGCAGGCGTGATGGGGACACAAGCCACGCCAGTCCACCAATGGCTGGGATAAGAGAGGCCACAATCAGCCAACAGAAAACAGACTAATCAACGTACGTGAGCTGGGCGCGGTTATAATATGAGGCAGGCGGCAAGGCTGGACGAATCAACGCCAGCAGGAAACGCCAGTGGCCGACTCTGATGATGGAAACGAGGGCGTTTCCGAAACGTCAGTTTGGATACAATCCGGTCCATGAAATCGCCTCCTCTTCTTCGTCTTCCTCGAGGGATGATAAACACGATAATATATCTGAAAGGTGGAAGTCCGTCGGACAAAAGACTCGTGTAAATTTTCAACCTGGTTGCACCAACCCGTCGCCAGACGAAGTGAATAATGAAAGGTGGATTGTCACACCGCTGGTTGAGGGCACAGACAGAGAGACAAGCAGACGACCATGCGAGTGGAAGGTATGCACCGTGTTGTGATGGAAACGCCATGAAAGCCTCTACGTCGCTCATTTTGATCATAACCAGGGTGTTTTTGAAATATCTGGTTCGCTTTCCCGATGTTCTGGCCAGATGCACCGAGGTCACTTTCGTCCCCGGCTGGTGTAGCATTCGTTTTTCTTTGCTTTTCAAATGCGTAAATCAAGCTCACTCCTCGCTTCAGTTTGCACTTAAGTCGAAAATAGCAGATCCGATCCGACGTATGTTCTAGTAAGTGGTAATCTCAGCGCCATAATGCGACAAATTGTCCATGGAAGATGAAACTTGTCAGTATAGCTTGGGTACCAACGGTTTTATACTTTTTGGAAACCTGATTTGGTTGTGCATTTAGTTAATTAAGTAATTTGTATATTTCGTCATGGGGGATGAAAGGTATTTTTTGGAATTGGATGGCTTTGCCTTTCAGCAACCTAAAGTAAATATGCAAGATCCATCGGAATGGAGCACTCCCCTTTTTTCGACCCTTTGCTCCAGCAAGCACAAAATAGTGGGTAGGATTTTGCCCTAGATCGTCTCCGATAATTTCCGCGTTGTTTTCCACTCAGTCTGCATTGGCCCCTCGATAAGAGCGCCAGTTATTTCCTCCTAAATCACGCATGCGTGGGTCCATCGTCCTCCCCCGTAGCTCATTTTGATCAAGTTGCATTGGCCGAAGCAACAAACACCTGCAGATAATTTAAAGGAGCGCTTTGCCGCACTTCACGGTTGAATGGACATTACGCCTACACCTGCCTTGCGCACACAACAGTCGCCGCGATCGCTCCTAACCGATCAGTTAAAGCAAAAGGTACTTGTTTACTGGTGGCAGGGAGGACAGCGACCATCGATGTGTGGCCAGAACTCGACTGGCCAAAAATTCTGCACTGGGGCGAAATATGACCTCCAGTCTACAACATCCAGCGAGAGACGTTGGGAATAAACCAGTAGCTGAGTGGAGGGAAAATCTGATCGAGCTTCCTCGAGCTTCCCCACCAGTCCTGACTGCCGCAGTAATCCCACAACGGATATAGGGCCTGTTGTCCACCAAGTATTGTCCAAAGTTTTGGGCTCATTTCTTCGACGACAGATCAGCTGACATCGTGCACCTTAAGGAATTACTGGAGTCGGCTGACTCGAATATCAGATTCCCAGTAGATGCCAAAGCAAACAACTAACTTCCCTTCCTCCACGCTACTGTATGCCGGTGGGCATCCGCAAACTACGGTATGCAGGAAAGCTGCTGACACGTGGTAAATACTGAACTTTGACAGCAATCGCATTAACGTAACTGTGACAGAAGGGCCGAAGCACATTGCAGCACGCCAGCGAACAAACAATTTGAACAGCTATGCCTTCATAACCACCTCAGCGCCATTTTATCGAGAAAACCAGATGCCAACCGAACTGAGGGCGGACAAAGTAGCAACAAACCAAAGTCTGAAAGGCCGTTCCATACACCAATGGAGTCTGCGAGGTGGTTTTTGGACAGTTACAGTTTGTAATAGTGGACGTAGCCCATCGACTCCAAAAAACACTTCGTCGCTGTTAGATGCACTCCAGCAACATGTCCTCATTCACCGAGACCTCGTAGGTACCTATAAGATAGGGTAGAATGATTCGAAACGCAACTAGACCAATAAAACCGGACCCAAATCTTAGATCCACCTGACAATCGGAAACTCGGAGGTCATGACCCAACTGTCGACTTGTAATACACAATTTAAAAACTGGCCATGCTTCCGATCTTGAGGGAGCTACCATACTAAGCCGGGGCAAATCAAAAACATAACAGCTAATACTTGGGGCGTGATATTCAATGCCAAATCCATCAACAGGCATCTTGGCCTCCCTTCGGTGTAAAAGGCCCTGCGGCATTGTGCATACGTAGCTCAAAACAAAGCGGCCGCAGAGAACGTCAGGAAGCTGCACAGACACAGCCGGGAGAGAAAACACAGCCTCTGGAGGGCCTCAGTCACCCCCTAATGGATGCGTCGACCCATAACGCGTTAAACTGACAAGCCCGCCAAACATCCTCCAAAAAGTCGAGGTAGCGAAAGGGAGAAAATCGATCAGTTTGTGGACAATTAGCACGACAATTCAATTCCTTTTCTAATCCATCAGGTGCATTTAACGCTTTCAGACTGGTGATCTGACCAAGCTCGCCGAACTGTCAGCATTTCGATAAACCTATTCCAGGTACCTGATCCTAGCCTTTAACCCTAATTCCTAACTCTATCCTCTAGTCCTTAACCCTAACCCACTCGTTAACAGATACGGCTACGAAATAAGATCTTACCGAACAGTAGTTGTGGCAACTTTTGTGAATTAGAGAACTTACACTTCAGGCGGATGTGCTATTTGGGGCGATGTCAACAGCTGTTCTGATCATCATTTGCGGGAGTCGCACATACCAGCACGACGATCGCGCCTAATTGACGCGCGACGCAAGGATATTTTTTGGGGGATTGTAAAGGCTTATAAGTGGGGAGCATATAAACGTTCCCAATAAAATATAAGGTGTAATTACTAGTAAAAATGTGATGTTCTTAAATAAAACCTGCACTAATCGATCCCCATTCCCGAAATAACCCATCCGACATTCATTCGTAAATAAATCGGCTGAGGGAAACTGTCGTTGCACAGGAAAGGCGTAAAGCTAGAAGAAATCAGGCGTCATAGAAACACATTGAAACATGCGCTCATCTCGCGGTCAAACCTACCCGATTGGTTCGCACAAGGCTGATTACGAGAAAACGCTCCCAAACAGAAAACGCCCGTATACTAAAGCTAATTTACATAACAAGCGAGTGCAATTTGCCAATTGTGCAGTATAAAAAGACGAAATACGAATACTTGCGTAGTTATCTTGCAGTCAACCACGCACGACAAATTCGATGACGTAAGCTTGGCGAATGGGCAGTTTCTCGGGAAAAACTGGTGCTCGGATAATGAAGGGTTTCACCACATAGACATGTGCCGGCAATTTCAGCCGAGGCGAATGAGGGCGCATTCGTGAGTTGGTAGGTCACGTAGCACAAGTCGGGCGGAGGCGAATATTATTCAAATAAATTTAAGCAAACTGCACGCGGTAGTTTGTATGAAGGTACTGTAGGAAAAAATAAACAGCAGCTAATCCTGCATTTGCGGACGTGATACTATTTGATACACTGCCAACACAGAGCCTACTCATGTATCGACTCATCCCAAATCCCAGCAAGTGTCGGGCCTCTCACAACTTCCCTGGCAAGCCCATGCTCTCGAGTTACTACTCGAGGTGGTTATCGTCAGTTGTGAGCTATGGATCGATAAGTTTTCTTCGTCTTGATGTAAACACAGTATGATTTTTAAAAAAGGGGACGTTCCGATGGAGTCAAATGAGTCATTTTCCTGTAATATTGACCCCCGAATTCCTTGCCATCGCCTACTTCCCCGCCATCGTTCTTTAAATAAAAGCAAACTTTGCTTCAGGGCGTTTGTTTACAACATTGCAGAATGTTTGGGCTTATAAGAGGGCACAATCAACGGACCAAGTGGGGTGGCGAAGCGGCATCGGTACGGAGAAATGACGCCAACTCATTCATGTTAGATGAGGCCGAAGTTCTCGCGCGAGGTGCTAATCCCGTGAGCCGCGAGTTGATTGAGTCATGGTTCACGGGACCTCAGTCTATCAACAAGTGCAAAGACATCCCCACTCCATATTCCGTGCTGAGGCATAAGCTGGCCAATGCAATTGACCACTCGGGGAGCGCGCAAGCCGGTGAGCCAGACGGCTGTGCAATCATCACGCCAGCATCCGACACGAGTGATGAGATTTCAGCAATTAACAACTTCCATGCCGGCCATCAAGCACTTAGCGCACCAGCGGGCAATAATACTCGATGTAGGGGAGAGCGCTTAATTGCCATCGGTATGTGGCAGCATAGCGACTGCATCCTATAAATACTGCAACGTCTTGTGCACGACTCGCCCTTTTCGGCCACTGTCTCTGATGATAGGTTCACGTGAGACTCCGAAACGTCAGGCGAATAAAACACAATCAACGGACTAAGTAATGAGGCGGCTAAGCTGCTTGTCTTTATCGATCAACGGAAACGTCTAAGCACATATAACTTGTCGTTGACCACTTATCTCAAATGAGCTGTACGCACTCCAAGGCTAGGCAGATTTTTCACATAAGTAGGCTATTGTTTGCTTGCTTTGAACTTTTGGATGAAAAGGATGCGCTTCATGTTTAACCTGCGTGACATTTCGAACACGGATCTGGAACAGAGTGAAGCGTTCGTAGGCAAACTTATTGGCAAACATCCTCACGGACAAGTCCGATTTCGTGATAGAGAGGAAATTGCTATATTTAGCTCTAGCACCAAAACTGCGTAAAGTTTTCATTCGTGCAGGTCACTAGTCACCAGCTGTGTCCTGAACGCTCCTTCATATTTGCTACTCCATTAAAAAGACAGCCGGTACCAACGAGTACATCAAAGGCAGCAGTAGCATCACAATTGCGCGACAGACCCAACTTGACACATATTTGCATCAACGAGGGGATAAACATAATAGCTTACCTTCCACCCAAGACAGTGAAACTTAGAACCCAGCTCCTCCTTCCGAAACGCTCTTAGGCAGATTTACCTTAAAATAGTATCATGCGTAACAAGAGGATACAAACTGCGCTGCATTTCAAATTCCTCACGAAATCCTGAACGGAGGCTGCATCTACCTATGAGGATGCTTAACAAAAGGCCAAAAACTGTGTATGTTTACTGACCTGTAAGAATGCTTTCAATTTCTTAAGATATGCTCCTTACAAATTTGATGAGGGCAACTTGGCTTGTCAAGCATTTCATTTGAATATCAAAATTACCGGAAAGGCAAATTTTGGCACAACGGTACTGCTTAGATCACCTAAAGGGAAAAATCAATATCAGCAAATCCGGTAGGCAGTAAGATGTCACCGACAAAGACTGGCTTATTAGCCGTCGTCAGGCACCCATACCCATCCCCGAAGTGTGCGAAACCAGAGGCTCAAACTCGCGGCCTGTTAGTAAGAATTCCAACGCCTCTAACCACTAGGTCAAGGGTCCGTTGTCCTGTCGGTTTCGATCGGGAATATACAATGGTAGGGGGCGCTCAATTACCTCAGGAAGCCGGATTTCAAATGAATTACTTTTGGGCTGCATGCAAAAACTACACAATGTAAAAAAATCACTGCTTAAGAAGTATGTATTTTTCACATTGATTTTGGATGGTCTTATAAACTAAACATTGGTTGTGTATAACACGCACAAAATATGCTTTCTTTTAGTCGTTTGATTGAAAATAACATTGTCTTTGCATTTTTATACCAGAAAGGTTTGTATTTAGGTTTTAAAAGGATTCTAAGTATGATATTTTTAAGACCGTGCGGTGTCCATACATACAGCGTCGCACATCTCCGTTTACGAATGCTTCTCGTGAAATGTACAAAATAGTCCACATTCATAGCAAAATTTGATGAACTGCACACGGTATGTTCTTAAAAACGTAGAGGAATATATGATTTTTCTTGTGCAGAAAGCATGTACCTTGTAGAATGTAATCGCTGAATGGTAATACAACAAGTGATCTGGCCCAGTATGATTGGAGAATTTTGAAACTTTTTCGGAACCTAAATGTACGCTTTCTTGAGATATGCAGTGCAAAGACAATGTTATTTTCTGCCAAAAAAGTTAAAATAGCGTATTTTTTGCGTGTTTTCCACAAACAAATATTTGAATTTATAAGATCATCCAAAATCAATGTGAGAAATACATACTATTTAAAGGGTGATTTATTTTTATCACGTGTGGCTTCTTTAGGAGGTCGAAATGGAGTGAATCCAAAAGCCGACATCCTACTGAGTCCGAAATACTATGGAAGTATGTTGCTTGATAAGCAGCCTTACAATCCCACCTACGTAATCCCCCTTAATCGAAAACGCATTTCAGAATTACGACCGACATTTCATCAGATCGGTCACGCACTGTACTCCAGACGATCGAAGCCCCCGTCAGTAATGGCCAGGCGAACTTATTGGCAAACATCCTCACGGACAAGTCCTATTTCGTGATAGAGAGGAAATTTCTATATTTATCTCTAGCACCAAGCATGCGTAACGTTTTCTTTCGTTACCAAAGCATTTTAAACATCATCTGACAGGGAAGTCAGTAGTCACCAGCTGTATCCTGAAGGCTCGTTCATATTTGTTACTCCATTAAAGCGACAGCCGGTAACAGCGAGTACAGCAAAAGAAGCAGTATCAGCATCGGCAACAGGTGGACAAAGTTGCGTCAGACCAAATTTGACAAATGTTTGCATTTACGAGGGGAGAAACGCAATAGCTTACCCTCCATCCAGACAGCGAACCTTCGAACCCAGCCTCTTCTTCCGAAACGCTCGTACACAGGTTTGGTGTGGAGAAGTATCATGTATGTAGAGCGGATACAAACTGCGCTGCAGTTCAAATTCCTCACGACATCCTGAACGGAGGCGGCATCTACCTCTGCATTGCTCACTATTCGATAATACCGTGAGGATACTGAACACATGGTCAAAAACTGTGTATGCTTACCGACTTGTAAGAATGCTTTCATTTTCTTAAGATATGCTTCTTAAAAATTTTAAAGAAAGAAACTTGGCTTGTCAAGCATTTCATTTAAAAGTCAATTGGCTAGCATATGCTTTCGGTAATTTCTCATCAGGCCTGTACAATTACAAAGGAAATGATCAGTCTAATTGTCGACAGGGTATAAATGCGGCTCGGGAGCTGGGTTAATCGAACTCCATATCCCACGCTGCCCGCATTACGGCGTCAGCGTGTTGAGGACGATGGAGTTGGGGTGGGAGGGGAGGGAGAAGGAGTTGGAGGGGGAGGGGGGGGAAGTAGAGGGGTTCCGGTTAGATTGTAGGCGCTGTGAGTGCGTGTGACTGCTCTCAGTGTGTCGGGCCGGCGTGCGATCCTTGTCTGGAGTCGGCCAGGGCAGACAGACTGCTTGTGTCAGCGTCTTCGGACAACAGAGTGCTGGGTTCGTCAGTCGAATGGCCACTGCTTCGGTTGTGGCTAGCACCCGTCTGCGCAGGCCTTTAGAGTAGTGTGCCGGTGCCCGGTAGATAACTTTAAACGCTTCTTTAGCGTCGGTTTGATGGTTCGTATCGATTAGATGTGCGAGAATTGAACTCGAAATCGATCGATGTTCACCTCTACCTAGCCAGGCAGGCATGTGTTCGCGTATTCTCTTTTCCAGACGCCTGGTTGTACGGCCAATAAATCCCGCTCCACAGGAGCAGGTGAATGAATAGATGCACATGGTTGTGGCCTGTAACGGCAGTCGGTCTTTGCCCCCCAACCGTAGTAGAGGGGAATTCGCGAAGAATACGCGCAAGTTCGCCGCGGGGAAGGCACTCGCGAGAGCTGTCCTGAGTCGTCGTCTCACTAATTCGCTTGCTGCGTCTCCTAGGAAAGGCAGTCTTAGAAATAAGTCTTTCTTTTCCGCAGTTGCAACGGCCGGTTTTGTGGCCCGCTCTCTAATCTTCCAGAGGATGAATCGCTCTGGATAGCCGTTTTCGCGGAGCGTGTTTTGCAGCTGCTGCAGTTCTGCCTCAACAGTTTCAGGAGAGCAGATGCGTCTTACTCTAGCCGCCAGTCCCTGGACTAAATTTCAGTAAAGGCAAATTTTAGCATGAGCGTAATACATAGGTCACTTCCAGGGAAATGTAAATAGTATCAAAGTCCGTAGACATAATGCTATTACCGACAAAGGCAAGAAAGACAGGAATGGCCATTTCTGGCTTATTAACCGTCGTCAGGCACTCATACTCAACCCCGAAGTGTGGGGCACACTAGGCGCGAACTCGCCACCTGTTAGTTAGAGGTCCAACGCCTCTAACCTCTGGGCCACGGGCCCGTTGACCTGTCCGTATCGATCGAGAATATACAATGGTGGGCGGCGCTCACTGATCGTTCATTCGCACTCCAAGGCTAGATAGATGTTTTACATAAGTTCGGACGCAGTCAACTGAGGCATTTCCATAAAATACTGACCACCTTACCACCACATATTCCTCTGCACAATGTTCGTTAAATAAAGACTAAATTTACTTCAGACTGTTTGTTTACAACACTGCAGAATGTTGTGACATGTAAGAGAGCAAAATCGGCGGACTGAGTGATGGCCAGCGAAGCAGCTTGTCCTTACCGATCAGCGGACAGGTCTGAGCGCGTCGTTGTCCACTAGTCGAAAATGAGCTGCACGCACTCCAAGGCTAGACAGATGCTTCATATACGTAGGCTATTGTTTATTTGCTTAGGACTTTTGAAGGAAAAGGAAGAACTGTATGCTTACCCTGTGTGACACTACGAACACGGACCTGGAACAGATGGGGACGTTTGTAGACGAAATCGTTTGCAACCACCCTCATAAAAAAGCCTTAATTTGCAACGGGGCAGAAGTGGCTCTAAACGCCGTTTCGAAGAAGGAGTATAATTTGGTTTTTAAAAAGTTTTGTGATTCCCGAATAATTTGGAGCCTGATTAGTAGTTACGTTAGCGCTAAGTGATTTCAGTATACAAGATGCATGCGATTCGCGTAGGTAAATCACATATTTCTCTATCCCTTTAAAAGATACCATACGGAGTCTATAAAATTGGCAATTGATACGGACTGTGTTGTATATTTCATAAAGAGCTGTGGTAAAGGGCCAGGTACGATGCTATGTGGATGGACATAGCGCGGTCTTAAAATATTTCATAATTAATGACTTTTTTAAAACCAAATTATAATTCTTCGTCAAGTATAACATATAAATAAGACGTGATTCTCTATCAAATGACTGTGAGAAAGCCTATTTTTGTTTATGGTTTCTATAAGATATATTTGAATTTCCAGGACCATCAAAAATCAACGGGAAAAATGCATGCTACATAAGTAGTCATTTTTTACCTAGTACAGTTTATGCGGTAGATTGGAAAGCAGTGTATTCGAATGCTGACATTCTACAGAGTCCGAAATAGTATAGTATTATGCTTCAAGATAATGAGTATTACAACAGCGCCTAAGTAATCGTTCCTGATCGAAAACGCATTTCATAATTTTGACCAACATTTCGGGCGCCTGAACTCATGCTTGTTTACTTCAGTCTGTTGGTCACAGATGTGCATTCCTTTCTACATGTGAAGGAGAAAACTGGGCGAGCAATGAAACAGTCTGTCCATTGTTCTGGGATTAAGAAATCGTGCTGGAATTCATCGTCAGAGATGGTGGACAAAAGAGAAAAAGCGACAATTATACCGCCCGCTGGCCAATCGTCGATGGATGAGGCGAGATTGTAGGCGACTGTTCTGGGCTCTGCACGCCGGCGCCTGATCAATAAATCGACTGACTGAGTACTCATCCGAGGACTAATGACTAATTAAATAGTTCAATTATTTCTCATTAACGTTTGATGCCCCTATAAATTAAAACATATTTCTTACAAATCAGGCATGAAAATGTTCATTCTCTTACTTATTCGGTGGAAAGTTAAAGCCTCTTCCAATTTTATATTTAAAGAAATTATATATTCCGGTTTTTTTAAGAAGATTCTTATTATGAGATTTTTAAGACCGTGGAATGCCCGTTCATAAAATATCATGCACTTGCACTTACTAATGTTGTTTGCAAAGCTTGTATGGCGCAAATCCACTTTTTAATCTCACGGACACCATATGGTCCACTTTTAATAGTGCATATGAATGAGAGGTGTTCGGTTCTCAGAAAATATACAACATGTGGTTTGGAAACCCTGAAAGCAAGTGTAGCAGCAGGCCGGGTTCAATATTTTTCGAAAATCTGAAAACGTTTTTTACAACCGAGGCATTATGCAAATTTATACAAAATTAGTTAAAAAAATGAATATGTTTTTGCGTGTTTTTTTATGAAACATATTTGAACTTTTTAGAGCACCGGAAATCTGTGAGCCGATTCCATGCTAAGTAAGTAGCCATGTTTACCGAGTGATATGTTTACAATGAGCCAACACGAGATTCGTTCGAAGGACAGCCTTTTGAAGTAAATGAACAATCAGGGGATTACGCTACACAGTTATTTATATCACAAACCTACTTAAAAAATCTTTTTGAGAGGAAAACGCATACAGGAATTTCGATTATTATTTGATGAGTTGGCACATCTACTGGATAAACCATTCTTTGTCTATACATAACCTAGGAATATTGTAGTAATTCAGTTTATTTTCGTATGTTTAAGTGAACAAAAGAATTCAAAGGGATGCCGCGAGAATGTCGCTGTGTTTTATGACATGAGCAAATGCTTCATACTTCAGCATGTGTTGGCCCTCTCACTACGGGCTTTACATGCGTTTAAATTACTCGTCTCCAATCTTCTAAACACATATAGTAGGTCAGAGAGCCTTTTTACTTATCCAGCATCAACTGAGGCGCCGCTGTCATTTATGTCTGAAAAACACATTATTCAACACACCAAGACTTGCAGTTTTCGGCAGGATGAAATGCTTACGCCACATATCTCCGAGGTCCTACCATACTATCACATTTTGCAGCGCTTTGATCTCAATAAGTGCCAGTTAGTCGGCTTTGATTCAGCAAGCTGCTTTCACGAGAACACCGAATGGTACTGTTTTTCCCGGTCACAAGTCTGGTCCCCCCACTCGACGACCACCCTCGAGGCTTTCTGTTCGGTCACGCGAGACGACTGAAACACACCGCCGAAGCCGACCTTTGTTGTGTTAGTTCTCAATAACTTTCCGTTTGATGTAGCTAATGTGCGCATCTTGGGCAGTGACGAGGAACACTTTTTTGAAAGAACTTTGACCTGACGAATCCTGACTACGCCCACATTTGTCTTGGTTGTAGTTCCAGGGTTTGTTTGCTTTATGGAATCTGTCATTTATCGAGCACAGGCATTTCGGGGGTATCTGCCATTGGCCAAAATGCCCATTTTTTGACATGCAACTGCACTGCGTGAAAACATAACCCAAGCTCCCATTAAGACACTTAGGACCGACATTTCTTATATCGGTGTGACTAGTGACGGGGGCATCGCTCATCTGGAGTACAGTGCGTGACCGATCTGATGAAATGTTGGTCGTAATTATGAAATGCGTTTTCGATTAGGAAGGATTGCGTAGGTGAGATTGTGAGGCTACTTATCAAGCAACATACTTCCATAGTATTTCTGACTCGGTAGGATGTCGGCTTGTGGAATGTTGTGTAGTCGACAAGATTAAGATTCTCAATCAAAAGTCAGGGAAGACGGTTTCAGTTGGACAACCTTTTCTGCCTGAGAAAGTGAGTACACAAGGGCTCTGTAGGCAGTCGCCGCGAGCGCGCTCCAAGCAAGCTGTTGTCCGTGTTGTCAGCGCGTGTGTGCGCCCTTCGTTGTCTCCACGTCTGCCAGCCACTCACAGTGGGGACAGCGTTGATTTGCTTCGAACACTCGCGCGTCCCAGCAGCGCATCGACACGGAGTGTGAGGCAGACAGGACGGCAGCGTGACAAAGGCGGAGGGCGAGGATACGCGAACTGCCACAGTACCCCCCGGCTAGACCGAAGGCGGCGCGTAGCGATGCCGAAGGAACTGTCGATGTCTAAAAACAAGAGTAACCAAACGGTCAGGAAAGTGAACATGGCGTCTACTACGGGTGATATATACAGGGGGCACAGTAGTAGAGTGAGTATGGCTCGCGGTTACAGTGTTGTTGGTTGATGAAGGAGTAGTTGCAGTTGTGGGTTGCGGACATGGGGACAGAGGAAGTATACGGGACGGTGGAATAGAGGGTCGGGGAGGCGGAGCAGGGGGTTGGGGACCACAGGGCTCATCCGGAGGAGTGTCCGGGACGGCAGCTTTGAGACGGTCCACGCGCACGACCTCCTCGCGAGTGCCGCGTTGGATGCGGAAGTTCTTCGTCCCACGAGAGATAACTCGTAAGGGGCCATCGTAGGGTGGTTCCAGGGGCCGGCGGACTCGATCACATCGGAGATAGACGTGAGAACACGTTGCCAATTCCTTCTCGAGATAAGACGGAGAGGCGGAGAACCTGAGAGGAACCGAGGAATGTGTCCGCATAAACTGCCGGAGGCGATGCAGGAGGTTGGTGGGATCCTCAACTGCACCTTGTGGGGTTGGCGAGATCATCTCACCGGGGAGTCGGAAGGTGGCACCGAACACCAGTTCAGCTGCGGAACAATCAAGGTCCGGCCTCAGAGCGGAGTGGATGCCCAAGAGGACCAGGGGAAGGTGGTCTGTCCAGTTCTCCGGATCGGCTGCGGCGCTTAGGGAGGCCTTCAGCTGGCGGTGAAACCGCTCGACCATCCCGTTGGCTGCCGGATGATAGGCTGTAGTGCGGATGCTTTTGGATTCACTTCATTTCGACCTCCTATAGAAGCCACACTTGATAAAAATAAATCACCGCTTAAGTAGTATGTATTTCTCACATTGATTTTGGATGATCTTATAAATACAAATATTTGTTTGTGGAAAACACGCAAAAATACGCTTTTTTAAATTGTTTGGCAGAAAATAGCATTGTCCTTGCACTGCATATCTAAAGAAAGCGTACATATAGGTTCTGAAAAAGTTTCTAAATTTTCCAATGATACTGGGCCAGATCAGTTGCTGTATTACCATTCAGCGATTCCATTCTACAAGGTACATGCTTTCTGCACAAGGAAAATAATATATTCCTCTATGCCTTTAAAAACAAACCGTGTTGAGTACATCAAATTTTGCTATGAATGTGGACTATGTTTTACGTTTCACGAGGAACATTCGTAAACGGAGATGCGCGACGCTGTATGTATAAACATCGCACGGTCTTAAGAATATCATTCTTAGGAACTTTTTAAAACCTAAAAACACGCTTTATTTGGTATAAAAATGTAAAGACAATGTTATTTTCTCTCAAACAACTAAAAGGAAGCATACTTTGTGTGTGTTATCCACAACCAATATTTAACTTTATAAGACCATCCAAAATAAATGTGAAAAATACACACTTCTTAAGCGGTGACTTTTCTACAATGTATAGTTTGTGCATGCAGCCCGAAGGAAATTCATTTGAAAACCGGCTTCCTGAGGTAATTGAGCGCCCCTACCGTTATATATTCCCGATCGAAACCGACAGGACAACGGACCCTTGACCCAGTGGTTAGAGGCGTTGGAATTCTTACTAACAGGCCGCGAGTTCGAGCCTCTGGTGTCGCACACTTCGGGGGTTGGGTATGAGTGGCTGACGACGGTTAATAAGCCAGAAGTGTTCATTCCAGTCTCTCTTGTCTTTGTCGGTAATATCATTCTGTCTACGGGGTTTGCTGCTATTTATTTTTCCCTGGAAGTGACCTATGTATTAGGCTCGTGCTAAAATTTCCCTTTCCCGTAATTTTGATATTCAAGTGAAATGCTCGACAAGTCAAGCTATCCTCTTTAACATTTTAAGGAGCATATCTTAAGAAAACGAACACATTCTTACAAGTCAGTATACATACACAGTTTTTGGCCATTTGTTAAGCATCCTCCTAGGTATTATGGACTAATGAACCATATAGAGGTAGATGCCGCCTCCGTTCAGGATGTGGTGAGGAATTTGAAATGCAGCGCAATTTGTATGCTCTTGTTACGCATGATACTATATTAAGCCAAATCTTTCTACGAGCCCTTCGGAAGGAGGAGCTGGGTTCTAAGTTTCGCTGCCCTGGGTGGAAGGTAAGCTATTATGTTTATCCCCTCGTTAATACAAAAATTTGTCAAGTTGGGTCTGTCGCGCAATTGTGATGCTACTGCTGCTTTTGATGTACTCGTTGCTACCGGCTGTCTTATTAATGGAGTAGCAAATATGAGCGAGCCTTCAGGACACAGCTGGTGACTAGTGACCTGCACGACTAAAAACTTTACGCAGTTTTGGTGCTAGAGCTAAATAAAGCAATTTCCTCTCTATCACAGAATAAGGCTTGTCTGCTTGGATGTTTGCCAATAAGTTTGCCTACGAACGCTTCCCTCTGTTCCAGGCCGATGTTCGAAGCGTCACGCAGGGTAAACATGAAGCGCATCCTTTTCGTCCAAAAGTTCAAAGCAAGCAAACAATAGCCTACTTATGTGAAACATCTGTATAGCCTTGGAGTGCGTACAGCTCATTTTGAACGAGTGGAGGACACGTTATATGTGCTCGGACGTGTCCATTGATCGGTTACTTGACCGACCCTCACTCAGTCCGTCGATTTTGCTCTCTTAGATGTCATAACATTCTGCCGCGTTTTAAATAAACACTCTGAAGTAAAGTTAACCTTTATTTAACGAACGAGGGGCAGAGAAGTATGCGCTGGTAAGGATTTCGGGGTAAGTATTTCATGTAAAGGACTCATTTTGCCGCATCTAAACATTTTCCGTTTTTAGATTATACGGTTTTTGCCTCAAGATGAAGACAGACCATTGATCAATGACTTTGAAATCACGATGACCACCTTGAGTAGTAATCTGAGAGTGCCGATATCTAGGGAAGTTTTGAGGGGGTGGCACCGGGTGGTATTTGGGGTGATTTGCTGCATGACAAGGCTCCGTATTGGCAGGGCGACAATCAGTATCATGTCCGCAAATGCAGGACTAGCTGCTATTTTTTTGTTCTACAGTAACTTCATACAAACTACCGCGTGCAGTTTGCATAAATTTATGTCAATAATATTCGCCTTCGTCCGGCTTGCGTTTCGTGACCTACCAACTCACGAATGCGCCCTCATTCGCCTCGGCTGAAATTTCTTTCACATGTCTGTGTCATGAAACCCTTCATTTAACCGAGCACGAGTTTTCCCCGAGCAACGGTCCATGCGCCTAAATTAGGCCAAACTTGCGTCATCAAATTTGTCGTGCATGAAAGGCTGCGAGATGACTACGCAAACATTCATTTTCGCCTTTTTTATTCACCACAATGGACAAATTTTACTCGCTTATTAATTAAATTAGTTCTAATATTCGGGCCTGTTCCACTGGTGTGCGTTTTCTCGTATTCAACCTTGTGCGAACCAATCGGATAAATCTGACTGCGAGATGATCGCATATTTCAGTGTGTTTCTATGACGCCTGATTTTTTGTAGCGATACGCTGTTTTTGAGCAACGGCAATTTCCCTCAGGCAGTCGATTATTTTGCGAATAAATGTCACATAGGTTATATTGGGAATTGGGACCGATCCGTGCTGGTTTAATTAAAGAACATTACATTGTTACACGTTAAATTTTGATCAGAATAAGAAGAAGAAGAAGCGATCAACGGAACAAGGGCTTTATTCGCCTGACTTTTCGGAGTCTCACTTGAACCCATCATTAGAGACAGTGGCAGGAAAGGGTGACTCGTGAAGAGGAAGTTGCAGTATTTATAGGATGCAGTCGCTATGCTACCGCATACATATAGCAATTAACAGCCCTCCCTTTCGTCAAGGATGGCTGTCCGCTGGTGCGCTAATGGCCGGCATGCAAGATGTTAATTGCTGAAATCTCATCACCCGTGTTGGATGCTGGCGTAATGATTGCTCGGCCATCTGGCTCACCGGCTTGCGCGCTCCCCGAGTGGTCAATTACTTTGGTCTGCCTATGCATCAGGACAGAATATGGAGTGGGAATGTCGTTGCACTTGTTGATAGACTGAGGTTCCGCGAGCCACGACTGATGCAAATCGCGACTCACGGCATTAAGACCTCGTGCGAGAATTTTAACGTCATCGAAATTCAATGCGTGGTCGGGTCTCGTGGAATGGGCCGCGACTTGAGAGTTGGCGTCATTTTTCCGTACTGATGTCGCTTCGCCGCCCTACTTGGTCCGTTGATTTTGCCCTCTTATAAGCCCAATCATTCTGCAATGTTGTAAACAAACGCCCTGAAGTAAAGTTTGCTTTTATTTAAACAACGAGGGGCAGAGAATTATGTGTTGGTAAGGATTTCGCGAGTCAGTATTACATAAAAATGACTCATTTGATCGCATCGGAATATTCTCTTTTTACAGATCATACAGTGTTTACATCAAGACGAAGACAACTTATCGGTCCATTACTCAGAAATGATGGTAACCAGCTTAAGTAGTTACTCGAGAGCGTGTGCTTGCTAGGGAAGTTGTGAGAACGTTCTAAATGTCCTCGACACTGGCTGGGTTTTTGGGATGAGTCGATACATGAGTAGTCTCTGTGTTAGCAGCGCGTCAATCAGTACCACGCCTGTAAATGCAGGACTAGCTGCTATTTATTTTTTGCCTGGAAGTGACCGAGGAATTAATTTCCGACAAATGGCAGCGTGCAGTTTTTAAATTTATCTGGGGTGTATTAACCTCCACCCAGTTTATGCATCGTGACCCCTGAACTCACGAATACGTCCTCATTCGTCTCGGCAGAAATTTTTAGTGCATATATACGTCATGACACCCTTCATCTACCGAGCATAGGCCTTTCGCGGGTATCTACCTGTCTGCCTTAATTACGCCAAGCTTACGTCATCGAATTGCTCGCACATGATAGGCGCCGAGATAACCACACAAATATTCATTTTCCGCGTTTTATTCCCCACTGTGTGCGAATTTCACTCGCTTAGTATTTCAAATCGATCCAACATGCGGAAGCTTCCTACTTGGGCGCGTTTTTGTGTACGCAGCCTTGTGCGAACCCATTCGTAAAGTGTGAAATGAATGTGATCGCATATGTCAGTGTGATATTGTGGACCAGCACCCTTTTACAGCTTGAAGATGTTTTTGTGCAAAGGGTATTTTCCTCATATATTCGATTACTTCAGGGTCGAAAGTCAGCAATTATTCCCAATTAGGTCAGGTGGATTGATTTGGGTGTGCGAATCAGTTCGTGCAGTTTTTATTAGAGAACGCGGCGTTTATTTGCTGGTAACTACACTTTATGTTTTTTGGTAACGTTTTTATCCGTTGACAGCTATAAACCTTTCCAATCTGTCTTATATCAAATGAATTTTGAAATGAGAAATCTGTTGGTATTTTGATTTTATTCAGTCATAGACACAGATTGTGGAAGTTGTTGTAGGAACTGAAGCGTAGCTCATCATGGCCATATTTCAGCAACCGAAACCAATAATAATCTAGTGGAACACTGCTACGGTTGGAGGGGGGGGGCGAGGGCTTCACCTCTGAATGCGCTAAAAGTTCACCTTTTTATGGTTTCCCACTGGGCCTAGCATTGTCATTTTTGTCCTTCTGCTTCCAGCACGTATCTCAGATTGATTAAAGTCTGCTGCTGCTACCGCCCAGTAGTAACAATCCCAGATGGTTTCAACAGCTCATAGTACACCACGTCTTTTGGCACCAGCAAATTCCCGGC